CCCTCAATCCCAAATAGAAATCACTGCTCCTTCTCCAGATGCAATCATTTCTAACGCTACCTCCCTCCCCTCCCCTCCTCAATGCAATGTTTCTTTTTCTGCCAGGCATGGGACAGAAAAGGAAAAAAAAAAAATCAAACGTATTAAAATGCTTCTTTATTGATTCAAATGGCAGCATTAAACACATTGATCCTGGATTGTTGAATGCAGTCCCCCACCTTAGGACACTTTCACAGTCAGACGTTGCTGACCTGATTCTGGTCTTACATTTTCCCAGAAGAAACAGCTAACAAGAAAAAACCCGAAAAGATCCATATACAGCAGTCATCACCAGGCGCTGCCCACAAATACTGGAAACTTTTAGCTACAGTGATGATGATGGTAGTGTAGATGACAGTAAAACAGAAGCACGTAGAGCCAGCAGCAGCTACCCTAACACCACCGAGTGGCAGGCAGTATTTACTTGTATTTAAAGGAGAGAAAACATCACAGATTGCTCTTCAACATCAGGTCCCATGAGCATATAAAAAGACGGAGCAGATAGAAACTAGCAGTGAATGTCTTCAGGTGAGTAGTATTTTTCAGTTAATTTACAGAAATTTGGCTTTTTTTTTTTTCAGTGCATTGGTATCTATCTTTGAACTTATAAAAAAAAAAAAGAAAGAAAGAAAAAGAAATCCAGTTCACAGCTTGAGTCCAGTTCTGCCAGGTCACAAACGCCTTGACAATCTGTTGGAGCAAAAGAGTTTAAAACTGTAAACTTGGGGGGATATTATGTCTACTTCACTGGGGCACAGTAGCCCTTGGTTTACTAGAATGCTAGCCTCTGAAATGTGTGTTTGAGAGATTAAATAGTTATACTAAAAACATTTTAAAACCCTCAAAAATAATCTGACAATTTCAAAACACTTTCAACAGTCCTCAGGAAGTCACAGAACATTGAAAGCATTTGTGTTCTGCAGGAATTACTGTTTCTAGTGGCATTTTCTCTAGAAGTTCTCTTTGAATTGAGTTTTAAAATCTTTCCTGAGAGCCTTGATCATGAGTAAAATAGCAATAATAATTGTCAGACTGCAAAAATGAAGGCTTGGAAATTGCTTAGGTATAAAACCAAGCAGAGCACAGTTGTCTCAATAATTAAAAAAAAAAAAAAAAGAAAAAAAAACCTGTGATCTGAGGCCCAGAAATGAACATAGTTCCTGCTTCCTAAGATGATTTTTAAGCACAGAAATGAGACCTCGTGATCCTGTAATCTGCCAGATGTTTGATGTGTCCCTTACATTGGCTTTTAATAAGAAAATAATGCTCTTTGCTACTTCTATTAAGAGCACATATCATAGTACTAATCCAGCTCATACAAAATTCTGTGTAAATCTGCCTAAAATTACAGTAAAATCATTATCAGGTCAAAGGAGCTCTTCAGTCAAAGATTTTCAGTTTTTTCTCCTCTGGCAGTTATTTTTATAAAAATTCAAAAAGACACTGTAGGTAAGGGGAAATAATCACTTTTTATCCTTTAGGGGAGTAAGAGACAGCTTGTGAGCCTTAAATATAATTAAGCATTCAAATTTCAGGTTCAAACATATGACAACAGCATTTTCAAAAAGAAATGCAATCATTCTCTTTAAAAGCCCTTTTGCATAGAGGTTATCTGGTGTTTGTTTTCTTTGTCAATACTTTACACACGTCCACAAATAAAGCTTCTCTTTTATGTCTAATAAAGTCCACATACCTGTTCTCCAATTACTAAATCAAACTGGTCAGTGTATTTTGGGTAAAGTGACTGAGCCAGTCTGGAGAACTGCTGCTCAAGAAATGCCAGGGTAAGTGCTCAGATTCTCATGGAACTGTGCTCCAGAAAAAGGCAGCGGTAGCCCCGGTCTCTGACTAACTTCTAGATCCTATTAGGATACGACTATTCACAAAATAATTCCCTTTACTCTTGCCAAAAGTGCCCATCTCTTTCAAAAGGGTGCCACTGCAATGTGACTGCTTTTTAAATGTTGTCAGCTACTTAGAATGATGGGGCCCTCTTTGTTTGTCATTTCATTAATTTATTTAAGATGTGTGTATGGTCAAATTCATGAAGGTAATAAATCTCTTCTGTAGAGACAGATAATTGCTTTAACATGGCAAGACACAATAACATAGAACTTAATACAAAGCAAGTTTAGCATGTGCATGATAGGAAACAATAGAATCCAAGTATTAATAGCAAATAAAAAACAGTTCTCGATTACATAATCATCGAAGAGAACACATTTAGCAGTTGGACGTTTGATATTTTCTCCCTCTAACGAACTTGCCTTATTGCTAGATACTTTCCCACATTAAAATTCTGCTAATGCCACCGTATTTAGATCTCTAGGGAGCCCTTTCCCCTCTTGAAAATATTTTGGGGTTTCACAAAAATCGTTTGCCTGTCTCACTGGATTGAACCTCAAAGACTCCTTTGACGCAAGTGTTATTTTGACCACGTGAGCATGGTTTCCATTTTTTAACTAGATTAAAACATGCATGAACAAACTGCTCATTGAACTTTAATGTTGCTTTGTTGCTTTGATGGTTTACAGATTTCTGTTGCCTAGATGGTTTTCCTCCCATACATTCTAAAAGTGAAATGATACATTGTAATTTGAATGATAATTTTGTTTTGATGATTTAATTGATAGCAGACAGAGGGATGCCATTCCTGCTTTTCCATTTATGTTTTCCCCCCCTGCCTAACAGATGAGACAGCTAGGAGCTTCGCAAACATCTGTAAATAATTAAGGGATGTTACAATAAACTGTATTTCCTTTATGTTCACCTGGGCTTTTCCTGAGGAACTACATGGTAATCCTGGTTCAGAAAAAGAGCACCTTCCTCTTGCTGCTCCTGAGTCTTTGTCCTTGCTCTCTGTTAGCCCAGGCGATGGTGAAAGGCAATCTTCCCTGTTCATTTTCATGATGCCAGGTACAGCCTACCCACACCCTTTGTTTTATCATTCTGAGAGTCCTCACCCTGGTATTTCACAAAGCAAATATTCCAATCCCTTCTCTCTCTCTCTCTCTCATCCCCCCTCCCCTCTGTCCCCAACCCCATCGGTTTTTCTTTCTCTCCCTCTGTCTTTCAACTAAAAATTTCAAAATTGCTCTTGTGCTTTTCACAAAACTATTTTTAAAAATGCATGATGCTGGTGGAAAAATCAGAACATAGCTTCTCCTTGGCTTGTTTGCTTCTTCAGCATTAACCGAATTTTAAAAGATCTGTTTATCTTTGTATGGATACACTAAAAAAATAGAGTAGCAGATGTTCAAAGTGGCTTACCTTCCATGCATCCAAGAAACTATGCCTTTCTGTTCATCAGCTATTAAAAAGATTCGATGACATCCACAACAGACTCTGACTTTCAGTATGGAACATCCTCAGTGAATAAAAAACAATTAATTCTGCTACTTAAAGGTCTCTGTTGGCTTCAGTCCTAACAGGAGCTTACAGCTAGCAGAAAAGAAACTTTTACAAGCAAGCGAGAAGCAAATCAAAATACTTGCACTGAGTGTTGTTTGGTTATCTCACGGAGTATAAGGTCAAAGATTGAGGAGCTACTATATATTTCTTTTGACTTTAGGCCTTGAGATTTGCAACTGTTGTTTTCTGCTTGTGGAATGTTGTAGTCTTGGGAGGTCTTATGGTATTCCCTTTAGATAAATTGTTTTTCTCCAAACACACCTCCTAAACTTCTTCCTCACCTCTACAGCAGCAAAGTTTGTATTCTTGAACTCCAAAAATTCCGAAGTCCTGAAGCCCCCCTACCCCAAGTCATTAAAACACTGACAGGAGAAGGAGACTGCGTAGGGTTCACAGCCTTGACTTAATGCGTGGTTTAAAATCATTTGAAAAGTTGCTTTGAATTTTTGCCTTTCAACTGAAGTCTAATTTACATATCATATACACACACATAATATACATAAGCCTTCGTCGACTGGAAGAAGTTTCTCAAACTGAAAACATTTATGTACCTGGTCAAGACTCTGATCAAGACAATCGAAAGTGATTCTACGAGCAAACACAATGAAGGAGGAGAAATTCTTCATAATAAACTAATGCCCAATAATTCATAATACCAAACCATGGGGCTTTTAAAGGTCCTCTGTTTCTGAAATTCTGTTACTCTTAAGGTACTCTTTAAACTTGATGGTTAAATAATAAAGATTTGAAAACAAAATCAAGACACAGAACAAGGCCAGCTTCTAAGTGGTCTCAGTTTCTCTTCTGCTCCCTTCTCTGAGCCTCTGACTACAACTATGCCAAATGTCAAGGCATTGACAGAACTCAGCCAAATTTATTATAAAGTGACAGCCCACTTTCTACCTACAGTCAGGGCAAGAAATTGAGCTTGAGTGGCCACCCACAAACCCCTCCACCTGCATTCTTGGGTCACAGCCACTCCTTCCCTCCCCCTGACCTTTGCAGTCAACGTTTCCTTGCTTCTGTTCTCTTAGTTTGGCATGCACGTGCGGATCTTCAGCGGGTGTCGTTTAAACTATATTGAATTTTGATAACGCCCCTACTTCCCAGACCATTTCCAGACACAGTACACAGAGTATTGACTTGTGTCTACTTGCAATCACCAAACTTCCGATTGATTCTCCGTGCTGAAAACCTTGGTGTTACTGTCAGAACTGTGCAGGAGACCCAAGTTAAAATGTGCTAAGACAGTGGTCTGGGAGAAGAACTGCATCGGTAGCTGGCAGTCTCACTTCCCTTCTGAAGAGGGCAGGGAATGGAAGCATCAGGGAGGGAAGTTAACTCACAGGGTGCTCCCCCTAGGCCAAATCTGTGATTACTGACAGATAGATTTGCATTTGGCCTTCTTTTCCACCCTACCTGGTAAAGGAATGAGCAGGGAACCCATTCTCTAGCCCTGATGGTCCCCTTTACCTTGTAAAGCACATTTATTCCCCACCTCATTAAGATGAAGAAAATGAACAAAATATAAACAAGGTAGATGGCAGGACGTTCGGGGTGGTCTTTTATTAAATCTGGTCCAAAAGAAGATTGCCGCAGGAGCAGGTAGAGGAGGTTTTGATGTCTTTTATGAGTCTTTCTTCATTTTGTCATAAATATTTCATTCACAAATGGATCTAAGACACAGGAGGCAGGGTGTGTAATTGGAAATTGTGGAGAAACAAAAAAAGTTTCACACACACACACACACACACACACACACACACACACACGCACGCCCAGAGAAAAAGCAGCCCTCCCCACCAAGCATGCTGGTTGCACACAATATTTCTTTTGGCAAAGTTTAGACATGTCTTTCTAGTTAACAAATGTATTCTGCTGTCAGCTCCTTATAAGAATTATACTCCAAGCTCCATGCCAAATAACCTCTTTAAATATTAATAAATAACTCAAGGTATCTTAGAGAGTCTGTGCTTGAGGAATTACGCTAATACTTTCAATGAAGCTGACAGAGGGAATCCCCCCTTAGATATCTGCTCCCAGGACCTAGGCTTCCCCAAACACAGCTTCCAAACCGGTGCACTCCCACAAAAAGGGGAACAGGAAGGAAGTCAATTTGTTTTATTCCTATGAGCTATGCTGTACGGAGACCCATGATGGGCCCCTCCTGCACTGCGTGGTTTTATTGTCAGGATCCTTCCTTGTTAATCCAAACCAGGCTAGGCTATTCCTAGCTCTACAGCTAATATCCTGATGTTTGCTGCTTAGATAAACCGGAAGAGCAGGCTGTGAGCCCATGGTTAGAACTCACTGAATCCACTCCTATTCCATGTGTCCCTGTGGCAGGTCTGTAAAAGAATCCTCAGGTTAATGCCATGGCCATGAGATGTATATTAGGTTTCATGTGTAGCCATTGTGTAGTGTGTGTGTGTGTGTGTCTATGTGTGTGTGTGTGTGTGTATGTGTGTGTATGTATACTCTAGGATCTATCCTGGTCAGCAGATCTTATTTTCTATCCTCTCTCTCACAGGGTTGCATTAACCAAGGTGAAAATGATTTATCTCTGGGTTATCTTTAAAATATTCCAAACGATCTCTTCAGCAGGTCTCCCTTCCTTCACTGACTCTGTCTAAGAGATACAAACTGCTTTAGAGATATTCATCCAGTAAGCTTGGTGAGATCCGCGGAGGATGAGATAATCCCTAGAGGCCTGCAGGGATTCGGAGAGTCACCTCTGGGGACTTTAAACCTCCACTTTCTTCACAGGAAGGTAGTTAAGAGAACGCTGACCCCAGACCTGGCTTCTTCAAAACACAGTAAGGAAATCACTAATCAAAATTGACCCTTGCCACATGCTTAGCTATACCCATGATTATGGTTATCTCTAAAATATCCCCCAAAGTCTCATGCACTCAGAAGTGGGGCTTTTGGTAGCTGACTGGATAGTGGGTATGTGATGCTGGATTAGTCCACAGATGGTTTTATGCCTGGATGTGATGCTGGGAGGTGGAGTCGGTGGGAAGAGGTGGGTCACTGTGGGTGTGGTTTGGGATAAAAAATATATATATATACACACACACATATGTATGTGTGTGTGTGTGTGCACACGTGTGTGCGCGTATCTCCTCCTCCCTGATCCCTCTGCTTCCTGTCTGCGTGCCTGAGCTGTTTCTCCCCTGCCACGCCTCTCTGTCATGGTGCCCTGCTGTGGAACCAGCTGACAAAGGACACAATCTTCTGGAACTGTGAGCCAAAATAAATCTTTTCCCTTTAAAATTGTGTGTGTTGGGTATTGTGTCTCAAGAGACAAAGAAACTAAAATACCCATCCCATTCTTCTGTAGTAAAATCAAAACATAAGTACATTTACATTAATCCTACATTGCAATGTGTCTTTAACACAAGCACTCACCATATTTAAATATTTCCAATTGTGTTTTTCTCTGAATGGAGAGTATAGAGCATACAGAATATTATAAAAGATGAGAAATTACTATTCGATAATACAAAAGATATATAATTAGCTAATATTTGGGTAATGTGTGGATATACCACTGGTATTTGTACTAGTTAATGTTACTAAAATCCGTTTCTATCCTCTGAAAACTTCTGATACCCAGTGTGTGTTTATTTTTTTTCTTTCAAATCAAACATCCTTCTCCAACTCTCTGGACACCAACTGGGTATCCAACAATGGAACTTAATTCTGACATAAACTGCAAAGGTAGCATCAGATGCCACAGGCTAGGGACTCAGGGACATCCAAGTAAAAGCCAATCACATGGGTATCCTGGCCACCTGCGCTTCTACCCAAATAGCTATAAACTGGTAGTTTTCATGACTTTCTCTTTGAATTTTAACAATTTACTAGAACAGCTTGTAGAACTCAAGCAAGCCCTTCTCTTGCACTTCTGGCTTATCACAGAGGATTTTACAAAGGATACAAATGGTTTGACGGATAAAGACTTGCACAGGGCAAGGGTCTAGAAGAAACTTTAATGCAGGAGCTTCAGTTCCCTTGGCAAGTGGGCACTTGAGGCTTCTTCTATGTAGCTGTGGCCACCAACTCATCTTTTAGAGATTTTATGCTGTTTCTCAGAAATTCCAAGGCTTTAGGACGGTATTGTGCCAGGACACAGGGACAAACAGCAAATATAGTAGTTCTTGAATCATGAAGTCACAATCAGATTCTGTCAAGTTGCAATGAACACTGAATTAGCAATATTGGAGCACTCTTTCTAGGGCAAATAGTTTGGTTCCTGCACAACTCTGTTTATTGGTTCAGTAACCAGCAGTGCGTTTATGCATTGAGTGTTTTTGTTTGTGTCATTTCTGTTTTAAACACCTTACTCAATGTATTGTCCAGTTTGCAGCATTGAACACATAGTCAACCACATTGTAGCCCATGCCTGAAAAATATTGTCTAACGCACACAGTTGGGGGCCATTTTAAACAGTGAAATAACAAAAGAAAAACACAAGAATGTGGAAAATTTCACACAAAGTATATCCTGTAAAGGACCTTGTGTACTGTATAGAAACTGAAACTAGAAGACATGCTGTTTTGTTGTATGACCTCTGCTGAGAATGTGTGCACCAGGAGGTTTAACTTTTTTTTTTTTTTGCAGCTTTACGCATCTCTGCAAATGACCCAGACATCACCCTGAGTATTGACCTCAAAGTGTGCTATACTTTGGATACAGTTTGTCTTGCCAAGGGTTCAGGGCCTATAGCCTTGGTCAACAATGAGGTAGGGTTGGATGGTGGAAAAAATTAAGAGGTGGTAGAGCCTTTTGGGGCTTGTGGAAGGTCACAGGGCTGTGGGGGGTCCACAGTCACAAAGAGGTCATTTTTAAATCTGGCAGGAGTGATTCGCTCCTATGAGAGTGGGGCTTTTTTATAGCAAGACAAGGTGTGGCCCGCCCTAGTCTCTTCCTTCCTGCCTTGCCATGAAGTCTCTCCCTGGTATCTACACCATGTTGATACAGACAGAGGCCCTCACCAGAGACTGAATAAATGAGGCCACCTGATTTTGGTCTTTCAGCCTCCAAAAATGTGTTCTCCAGCCTCAGATGTGTTATTATAGCAACACAAAATAGACTGACCGGGTTACCTATAAACTTCACCAAGGAAGCCAATTTGCAAATATAAAATCCTTAAGTAATGCGGATGGATTCTCTATATAATATACTGATTTTATTTTAAGTGATATAAAATGTATAAATAGTTATAATAATGTAATAGGTATATAGGAATATCAAAATTTGCTTAACTATGTACTGTGAAGATTTAGATATTAATAAATTTTTGCATTACGAAGCTTCAACTGATAATTTTATATATGTCTATGTGTGTATTTCAAATTATTTCTTTAAATGGAATCTCAGAAGTGTCACATCTATATCAAAGGTATGAATATCTTAAAAGCATTTGTAGCATATTGTTTAAAGACCTGATCTTATTTACACTGCCACTGGAAATGTGTAGGCGGGATTTTTCCAAGTAAGTAAGTAGCTAGCTGTTCATGGACAAGTTCTGGATTATCTCTCCAGAACTTTCTATCTCCTCCTCTATATTTTAAGCTCTCTGAAGACAAAGATTCCTTCTTATGAATCACCTATTTAACCATCTAGCATAGTACTCGACGTAGGAAAGATTTGTTGCAGAGTTGAATAAATTAATAATGTGTGTATCAGTTGCATGGCTACTTACCAAAGCCCTACTGTGAACATGAGGGAACAAATGAACTGATCGTGCCTGGCAGTTCTGAGGATCTCCGACAAAGCTTCAGTTTTCTCTGCTTGCTACTTTTTCATTCTCCTGGGGACGCAATGCAAGGGTGAATGCAGGATTACAGACTCTGGAGTCCACACCAGGATTGAACTCCCATAACAGCCAGTTATTGACTGCAATAGCTTCAGGTAACTTGTTCTCTAAGTGTGTTTCCTCATCTGTAAAATTAGCACTCCAGCACTTACTTCTAAACACTATTGTAAGGATCACAGGAAAAAAAATCATGTAAAATGTTTTATATTCACATAAAGTCCTCAGGATACACGTGAGCATTTAAAACCATCTAGTTTATCCTGAACTCAATGTTGTCAGATTAAGCTTCCAAAAACCGATCTTGGGTATTTCATCCCTACATTCGCAAACCTCTTTTAATGTTCTAGGGGTCATTCTGTGCCCTTTTCAACACTGTCTGATTGCTGCCTGGGCTCCTAGGATGCTTGGACACACCTCTGTCCTGCAGCTCCCACCAGCCTACGGGCATGCCTGCCTCACCTCCCTCCAGTGCACTTCCCAAGGACAGCTCGGGTGTGATTTACTCAGCCCTAGATTCCCAGCCCCTTGCACAATGCATAACCAACAAAATACTCCGGATGAATTTCAAGTGAGTGTCTCTCTTTACTTCTCCACATCCTTGCAGGTCCCTGTTAGACACCGCTGAGACAACCTCACCCTGCAGCCAATCCGATGGCTCACAATACTCTGACCCCTGGACACAGCTTCTAGACTTTTAGCACAACCAACGGATGCTTTCCTCCTCTGAGCCCCATGGTAGTTTATCTGTACCTCTCTCGTGTGTTACTGTTTCTAGTCTTGGGCCATATTTATTCACGTACTTACTTTATATCTACCTGGTGGAGTGTATGGCTCTCCAGAGATGATTTCTCAGTGGTGTTTTTACCTGCCAGGTACAATGGCTATCGCAGCCAACTGGTATTTGTTGGGTGGAGCCTGTTGAAATAATTGCAAGGTGAGGTTCTTCTGTGACATCACGGAGCAAGGCCCACACGATGTTCTCCAGGTAGACAGTAAATAAAATTTACCAGTTAGCACACAGAGAGAAGTGAATTATGCGACGTGGGACTGTGGAGCTAAACTAAACACAGAAGCAAAAAGTCTTGGCTCTGAAGTTGCCACAGCCAAGGGAATGGGTGCATAGGTCCAGTTAGTGTATAACTCCATCTGTCAGATCCACACACTCACGCCTTCATATTTACATACTTGACACTTATCGTTACTCTGCGGTGACTTTGCTATCTAGACAACTATAGCCTTCTACCTGTGCTCCATACTTTAGAACATTCTTATTGAAACTATAGTTTTGAAACACTTTTGAAAATTCTTGTTGATTTATCTTCTATTGTCTGAGATGAAAGCAACCGAAGCATAAAACATTATCTCAGTTGTTCTGCACCTACTAAAAATAATATGAATGATCACAATAATACCCTTTTCTCTAACACCACTTTGGGGTGTACATATATCCTATAATTTTATCCTTACAACCACGCAATGAGGCATGCAAGATAGGTGCTATTATTTTTGCAGATGAGGAGGCCAAGACAATTAAACGAAAGCTTAATTGATATTCAAAGACATTTGCTTGGTAAATGCTAGAGCTATGATTGAAGTCCATGGTGTTTAACCTGAATTTCTTTGCTTTCCATCTGTGTTTCTTCAGGAATATTCAACAGCAAAAGTAAGAAAAGGTAACAAAGCATGGGAAGGAAGGCTAGAAAAGTATTTCCAAGGTGATGGAAGTTAATCAAATTAGTTTAGAGTTAGCCTAAGAAGTTTCTCTGTTCAAGGGTAATTTTGCTTATGAAGAATGTTCTCTGCACCCACCAAAAAACCTGTGAAAATTTCAGCCAATTTTGTGAAAGAAAGTATGTATTCTCAAACCTCAAATCTGAAAAATCAACATCCAGAATCAAATCAAGTTTGTCTTATTTAAAGACTCAGAAATACAATCGAACTTGGGGTTACAGCAGTTATTCTTGCAGGTTAAAAACAGGGGAACAAAATAGATTTTTCTTGGTCAGAATTGTCTTTTGTAATTCAGTTTTCAAGTTCAGTAGAGAATGAAACATTTTCCCTGAAAGAAAGTAACTGAGTTCATAATTTTTTTCCAGCACAAAAATAGTTTTTTTAACGGACTGTTTTTATAAAAATAATTTAAGCATGATAGAAAATATAGCCAAGTTTAAAATTTCACCTCCATCTCACCGTCATATTCACACACATATTTAAACACAGAAAAATGTCCTTTTTTTCAAAGCAAGTATTAGACCAACCCACATATGCTGTTTTGTACTTGTTCCCTCCTCCCAGCAACTTCTACCATCATTGCTGAGAAACCATAACATTCAGCACCTGCGGTTCCTTCAGCTCATTCTAGATTGACTCAAAAAAGCACCAGAGCCCAAAGGAGACCACATATGTTAAATCTCTGACATGTGAGTTAAGCTCAAAGTGGATTGTTATGAAAATGGCTATTTTCTGGTGACAAAATTGCTGGGGATTAGATTTAAAAGCACTAGGCAAGCGGATAAATATAAACACTCATGACAGATAACTCTGAAATGGCAATAAAATATATCCCAGAGAAACAAAAAGGATACTCTCAGAATATATTAGGAAGAAAGTAAATTTTAATCCTGAGTTTGTTTATGTCAAAAGATCCTTGAATTCACCCAACACGTGAATTCTTATCAAAATGTACATAAGCTATATAGCTTATGGTTAACTGCATACATCTAGAAGAATAAAAGCTTGTCTGATTTGTTTGAAATGTGTACAAACTATTTGTGATGATGTACATTGGCAAAAAAACTAGTATTTCAAAACGTTTCCGTCAAATTTTTAAGTATTTTCAGATTATAATAATAGTTCTCGGCAACATATTTACAGTTTCAAGAGGGCATTAAGGATAAAGAGGTCATCTGAGACCAGCAGGGTTATCCTCAGACCTTTTGCCTACTACCCAGTATGTAAGATACCATCTAAGTATAATCAAATGAAAGTCTTTGAAGCTATTTAAATTAATTTGGAAATTTTAATTATAGTCTGAAAAGCACCTTCAATTTATTGTAAAAATAATGAGAAACTTGAGTTGATTAGTGTATACAATAACTTGCATAGTTTTCAGGAAGGGCAGTCATGGATCTTAAACATGTGGCTCTTTCCAGTATATTTTTAAAATATTTCAAAGAAAATTGAAAAATACCTCATTACCCAGTAAAGGTATTCCCTTCAACAACATCAAAGCAAATAAACAAAATGGGCTCATTATCAAAAGTGTTAATATTAAAAGTGAACATTCCTAGGCCAAAATCACGATTTATAGGAAATTGGTGATTTAAACATAAACAGACCTTTTGAATTTTTTTCGATATTTAAATTTTGAACTGCACCATTTTATTAAAGTAGAGACTATACATATAAAATATTTAGGGACAATGTTTAAATAATTACAATTGGAGTAGAAATAACTGAATTATGGTGTGTCCAAATTATCTCCAATTTTGAATTAGTAACTGTCTGTGACATTTGTCCCAGCTCTTGTAGAGTATTTTAACAGATGGGCCATTTTGTCACCCTGAAGAGGAAAGAACAATATCTTCCTTTGCCTTAAGGTCCAATTTTCTTTAAGGCCAAATTCCTGGATCTCTGTGAAGTGGCCGCAATGGGTCAAAGCCAACTCTGACAGAACTGGATCCTAGAGTTCTTCCCTGAATGAGCTAATGTGTCCTCAAATTACTGGGCCAGGGTCAAACACTCCTATATCCTTGAAGCAGGAAATTATTCTTTTCTTCTTTGTCGTACATAGTTGCTCTGTACCAGCCAAACAAAACATGCATAAAAGAAAATAAGATTTTTTTAAAAATGTCATTGTTAAACGGAACACCCTGAAAATGTATTCAAACATCATCGTGTCTGAAATGCTTAACATCGATTTTGCAAAATTATTTGGACAATAACATCAATTTTCTTATTCTCAGAACACCTACATGGAAGCTAACAAGCACTTATGTATTCTACTCAGTTTGGAAGTTAATTATGTTATATGTATGTTTCTCCTGCTAGTGAGCTGAGGCTGCAGAAATTGTCTGTCAACACCAGGGTATTCACTGGAATTTCTTCTATAAAGACATACCGGATTCAACACTTTTGATTAATTTTCTACAAATTCTCTTTTCTTTGGATTCCTGTCCTGGTTTTCCTTTGTGATTCAAACTACTCTTTTTCAGGCTCATTTTCTTGCTCTTTCTCTTCTCACTTGGAGACCCTGGAGTTTCTCAGAAGTGGCTTCTTACCTGCTCACGCTATATACAATCTCATATCCTCATATGGCTTCAATTACCACCCACAAAACCGACTGAAATTTATATCTCCAGCTCACGCTTCTTTTCTGAGATCCAGGCTGTGTTTTCAAATGCTGACTTGTCATCAACAATTCAATGGCTCACAGGCAGCTAAAAAGAAACCTGCTTGAGGTGAACTAATCTGAATTTTCCCAATTTGCCTTCTTCCAGCTTCTTCAGAGAACTGCCATCCACTCAAGCTAGAAATCTAGAAGTCCAACTCTATCTCACTTCCTAAGGTACCGGTCTTGCTCACTTGTCTATGTTCTAATTTTCTAGAGTTTATCTAATTTTATCAAGCCTCCCAATTATGGCTGGCACACCTACGATAACATCATAAAGACCTCTGCTTCAACTCTCACCTCCCTTGCAGTTGTTTTCCCTACTTCCTTCTAAAGGAGATTTTCTCCCAAGCCCCTGTGTAATATCTTTCTCCAGTTTTCCACTGCATTTGGCATGAAATCCAAATTCATATCATGGGCCGTAAACTCTGCTTTATCGACCTCCTGACTGGTACTTTCTATTGTGTTTTTACGTTATTCTTCCTACTCCTCAAATACACTAGCATCTCCTGGATTTCAGGATCATTAAGCCATTGTAGCTTTATTATCTGAAGTGCTCTATCCCTTCCTTTTCTCTTCTAGTACAACTTTAATTCTTCATTGTTCCCTTCTTAGTTTACGTGTCACTTCCTCCCGGAAACCTTTTGCCTTTGACCTCTCTCTCAGGCAGTCCTGCGACAAACCTCCGTTGCAACTTGCCCTTCACATTACTGTACAGCCTCATCTTATAACATCCTCTACGCATGCAAGTATTTAATGAACGCAGCTCTTTCCCTGTTCGACTGTGAGCACCATGTAGGTCTCATTCATTGATATATTCTCTGTGTCCAGCACAATGACCAATACACGGTAGGTGCTCAAAAACATTTGCGGGACTAATGAAGAAACACAAGTGTGAAGAAAAGCACAATACATAGTGATTGGATAAACAGTTGTATTTCCCCTCTATGTACTGTGAAATTCAGCTTTTAAGTTTTCAACCAACATAGTTTTAGAAGTACCAAGAAAACACATACATTTTATTTTTGTTTCCACAGAGGATTCACTGTGACTACTTCAATAATATTAATTCCAGATTCAATAACATAATTTAAGTGCTTAGGAGAAAGTGGAATTTTTAAGATAGCCTAACTTGTTCATTAATGGTGGACAAATACTTCTGAGGAAGAGATTTATTACTGCAGAAATGGCTTCATTATCTTCAACTGCTCAAATGAAAGAAATCATCTGTTCAGATAAAAAGACACAACTGGAAGTACGCATTTAGTTCTACTGTAAATATATTAAGAAGAATTGCCTTAAGCGACTCAGCAAAAAAAATCTGGTTTACTTCCTGGCTTTTACTAAAACATTCTAATAACACAGTTTCAGAAAACAGAATATTTTTAAGAGGGTGCATGGATATATCGATCAATGTAATTTTATATAAAAGGTAACCAAAACTTTAGCGTGGTGGAGAAAAATTATATTGCATGAATTTATTCGTT